TACCCCACCATTATTGGGGGGTGCCTAATTCATTAACCACCCATGTCTCCTGACAGCACCCAATCCTACTTGGCTCCTCCTAGGCCCCTCGGGAAACCTCAGCACACCCGGGACTGATCCAGGCCCCCCCCCCCCCCCCCCCAGAGAAAAGCCACTGACAATGATAAGCAGTGAACTCACTGGAAAAAACTTGTGCTTTTAAAGACAACTCTGGAACTATTGAGATGTATGTATCATAGATATAAAAATTGGAACCGGATGGGCAAACCAGGAAACTGTTATACTAACCAAGATGAGATATGTAATGGATGCTAAACGTAAGAATTCTAATTATGAGTTAGTTGAAAATAAAAGCCCCTTCAAGCAATGTTACATCAGGTAAAATTGAGGGATATTCCGAAAAATCTGTTCTACCGAAATGCAAGAATGACCACTTATGGAAGGACAGGAAAAGTGCTCAGATCATAGTGACTGAGGATTAGTGTTGCCCAGGTAAAGGTCAGAACAAGGGGCAAATATTTTAGGAATACATCCAAGAGACTTTTGAAAGTACTTTTTAGGAGATTTATACACTAAAAACCACTCAGTCGACGAGGGTGGGATTCGAACCCACGCGTGCAGAGCACAATGGATTAGCAGTCCATCGCCTTAACCACTCGGCCACCTCATCCCCACAGACTAATCCCCTGGACCATGTCACTCCCAGATGGAAAGGCTCTGGGCAATGTCCGGGAGGTGGGGCTTTGGGGACAGCTTCTTTCCCTTGCATAAGCAAGGACAAATCAGCTGGGACACGATGGAAACATATGTGCGAGGCCTTCAATCCTTCCCCGAGTTAAAAAATGTTTCTGATGATAATAAGATCAAATTAAAGTCAGTAACAGAAGAAAATTTGAGAGAATCAACAATCCATGAGTATAAAAGAAATCAGAAGGGAAATGTAAAAGTACTTTGGACTGAATAAAAGAACCCATAATACACCAAAATTATGGCATTTCATTAAAGCAGTACTTACACATTATTTATATTTTTAAATATCTGCATTAGAGAAGAAAGAACTCAAATGAGTAACCTAAGCTTCTATCTTAAGATAGAAAAAGATAAGCAAACTAAACCCAAAGCCAGTACAAGAAAGGAAAGAATAAAGATTGGAGTACAATCAATGAAATGGAAAACAGAAAAACAATAAAGAAAGCCAATGAAATGAAGAGATGAGTCTTTTGAAAAGTCAGCAAGATGAACAAAGTTTTAGTTAGACTCAACAGGAAAAGAGAGATGAGAAATCGAAGGAAACAGAGAGCATCACTACTGATCTCAAAAAAAAAAAAAAATGAAAACATCATAAAGGGATAAATAGTATGGACGTCATGCTAACAAATTAGACAACTTTGATAAAATGAAAAATTTCCCAGAGCTAGGGGCTGGGAGGAGGGAAGGCAAGAGGGACAGGGATGGGAGATATCTGTAATACTATCAATAATAAAAACATATTTTAAAAATTCCCAGAGGATGTAAATTATGGCAATGAACACAAGAAAAAAATAGAAAATCTGGACATTTTTTAAAACGGAGTCCGTAATTAATATTTCAAAAAAAAAAAAGCTCAAGCCCGGTGGCCTTACTAATTAAGAATTAAACATCTTCCGAAACTCTGTGACAAAGGAAGGCACTGGGGGAGGGGTGCGCGCTCCGGCGGGCCTAGGGTGCTCGAGGAGAGGCTCGAACTCAAAACCTCAGCATCAGCGGCACTGACCTAGAAGCACCACGCGCTGGGCGACTACGCCACTGGAGCACCCACGCCCTCTCCTGGTCACAGGTTACTCAGTCTGCGTTGGCTCGGGTGGCTGTGCGCCCGAAGCCCAAGGACCGGGTCCAGCCGTGGACCCCCCGCGCCACTCTCCCGGCCGGCACGGAGCCGCACTGCTGCGCGAACGAGGGGAGGACACTTCCAAGCGACCGGGAGGCCCCGATGCGAGCCAGCCTCCTGGGGCTGCGCGGGCCACGGAACCCTGTCGTCAGGGGCCCTAAGCGCCCGGGGAAACCGGAAGTTAGCGACGAGCTCGCGCACCTTCGTTATTTTTTTTCCCTCCGGAAGTTGAGATGCCCTCTGCTCGCAGGGGTTCAGGTTGCGACCTCTGACCCCGGGTCCGGGAGGAAGTACTGCTAGTGGCCGAGGAACCAGGGGTGTAGCGGACAGGGCCGCCCCCAGCCTCTCCCCAACGGCGGGAGGCGCCGAGTCCCCCGCGGACCCTGGAGAAGGGCCAAGGGCTTGTCTGCTCTTGGGGCTCAGGTGAGGGGTCAGCAACCGGGGCCGGAAGTGCTGTTGCGGGTTGGCCGCGGTCCAGACTAACCGGCGTCCCTGGGCGGGCCTGTCCCTTCCTCCCACGCCCTTCGTTGTTTTTTTTGTTTGTTTCTTTTTCTGTTCATCAGATTTTTTATTCACTTGATTTTTAGATTCACTTGTTGATAGATGTGTATTTGTTGTTCATAATTTTTATCTTTACCCTTTTCTTCTTCTTCCTCTTCTTAAAGGATACCTTTCAGCATTTCATATAATACTGGTTTGGTGGTGATGGACTCCTTTAGCTTTTCCTTATCCGTGAAGCTCTTTATCTGACCTTCTATTCTGAATGATAGCTTTGCTGGGTAGAGTAATCTTGGTTGTAGGTTCTTGGCATTCATCACTTTGAATATTTCTTGCCACTCTCTTCTGGCCTGCATAGTTTCTGTTGAGAAATCATCTGACAGTCGTATGGGTATTCCCTTGTAGGTAACTGACTGTCTTTCTCTTGCTGCTTTTAAGATTCTCTCTTTATCTTTTGCTCTTGGCATTTTAATTATGATGTGTCTTGGTGTGGTCCTCTTTGGATTCCTTTTGTTTGGGGTTCTCTGCACTTCCTGGACTTGTAAGTCTATTTCTTTCACCAGGTGGGGGAAGTTTTCTGTCATTATTTCTTCAAATAGGTTTTCAATATCTTGCTCTCGCTCATCTTCTGGCACCCCCATAATTCAGATGTTGGTACGCTTGAAGTTGTCCCAGAGGCTCCTTATACTATCTTCATATTTTTGGATTCTTTTTTCTTTTCTGGTTGGGTGTTTTTTACTTCTTCATATTTCAAATCTTTGACTTGATTCTTGTGATTCTCTAGTCCGCTGTTGGATCTCTGTATAACATTCTTTATTTCAGTCAGTGTATGCTTAATTTCTAGTTGGTCTTTTCTCATATCCTCGAGGGTCTCACTAAATTTATCAGCAGTTTCTAGAAAATTCTTGAAAAACCTTATAAGTGTGGTTTTGACCTCTATATCCAGTAGTTTTCTTTCCTCCATTTCTGTCATTTGTGACCTGTTTCTTTGTCTCCGCATTTTTTATGCTTCCCTGTGTTGATAGAGTGGCTTTCTGAGCTAGGTGTCCTCTAGGGCCCAGTGGCTCAGCCTCCCCAGTCACCTGAGGCGGACACTCTTGGTGCACCCCCTTGTGGGCTGTGTGCACAGTCTTGTAGTTAAGCCTTGATTGTAGTTGGTATCACTGGGAGGAATTGACCTCCAGGCCGATTGGCAGTGAGAATCAGCTGTGGTTATGGTGGGAGAACTTCTCTGCTGGAGACACCCTTATGAGGCAAGACTTGCTTCAAGGGGGCTTTGGTGCTCACTGAGTCTGCCCCCTGAGTGTGTCCCTTATGGATCTGAGGAGCTGTAATCTGGATGGTCCCAATCTGCCCACTGGGTACACTGGCACTTGGATCTAAGGAGGTGCTAATTTAGCCTCTGCCTGAGCCTACCCAGCAGGAGCTACGGAGCGATCTGCAGATTCCTCTTCTTTGTTTGGGATTTGGAGGTGCCCAGATGAGGCCCAGCTGTGAAGCAATGCAAGCTGCTGTGGGGCCTTGGGCCTTCTTTTGGATGTTCTGGGTCTGTCTGACCCAGCTGCAGTTTGTTAGGTAATTTTAGATTGCAAAGGGCCAGACCATTCATATGCAAAAGGCTCTGTGCACAGCTTGGGTGGGGCGGGGTCTCAGGGAATCAACAGGGCAGAGCAAACAGCTATGGCTGATCTTCAGCCCTGCCCTAAGAGGTCCCGGGTCTCAGTGTCCTGCGGTAATCGCTGCAAGCACCTCTGAGAGAAAGCCGCCCTCGAGTTTTGCCCACTGCCATACAGTCCAGTTTCTCCCCGTATGAGTCTGGGTCCCCAGAGACTCGCCCTGAACTGGAGTGCAGAGTAGCCCTTCGTTTTGAATTTAAATCTCATTGGTGTAGGCTTCCCGCCAGCCCCGGAGGTCAGTCCCCCAGAGACCGTTTAGTCCAGTGTTCCTCATCCCTGCCTGCACGTTAGAATGACCTGGGGAGCTTTTTAAAGGAATAATAACCCACGTTTGAGAAGACAGGCCAGGAGCCAGCCCCGAGGATTCTGATTCAATCGGTTAGAAGTCAGTGCTTCCTTTTTCTTTTTAGATGGTGGTTACATTTTATCACGGCCTGACAGTTTTAGCCAAGAAAGTAACAGCAGCGACACCCGGCTTGAGCAGAGTGGCTCTGACACCGGTTCCCGAAACCCGCCTGCCGCGGTGAGCGAGCTCGGACCTTGGGCCGGGTCAGGCCGGACAGCGAGCGCTGTGCACCCTCCCCCGTGGGCCCAGAGCAGGCGGGCGCCCCGTCAACGGCGCCTGTGAGCCGCGGCGCAGAAGGGGCGCCTGTGGCAAACCTGTGCCTCCGTCCTGGAGCCTAGAAGCAATGACAACAGCAGCACGAAGTAGCTGATCACAGATCATAACGATGAGATACTGACATGAAGGGAGCAGATGCTGTTGGGAAAATAGTGCCAAGGGACCGGCTCCACGCTGGCTGCCATAAGCCTTCCGTTCGTAGAAGAGGCAACGAGCCTGTCTTGTGCTGCGCTCTGCTAGGCTTTGCAGATGTCGCTTTCGCTCCTGCTAACACAGCATCCATTCTGCAGCCTATGTAACAAGAAGTAATTTCAAGGGGAAAAAAGTGATTTCAACTTTCAAGTCTTATTACTTAAATATTTTTGTAATCCTGTAGCTGTTAGAGAGCAGGCAGCATTTTCAGTCATGTGAGCAGTGTGTTTGCAAAAGAAAGAAGTTAGTTTCTAGCCCTTTAGGAAACTGAAATGTCAAATTTCATTATATATTTTAAACTACATGTTTTGAAAAGTTTCATACATATGGGCATTGACATAATTAGATCATGAACTCCCCTGTGATCAGTCAGAGTCATCAACATTTTCCAGTCTCATTTCCTCTATCTTTTCACTATGTTTTTTGTGAGGTGGGAAGGTTGGGGTGGGGGAGGGAATAATTTAAAGTTAAACCTAGAGCTATCCTATCTATCATCCTAAATTCTTCAGTTTGTATGTCTTAGAGATAAGAACTTTTTATTTTATAATATTTATAAGTGCAACACCACTACCATATTCAGCAAATGGAGCAGTAATTTCTCTCTCTTTCTGTAGCAGTAATTTCTTACTATAAGAAGTTACTTGCACAAAAAGTAATTGGCAAAACTAGTATTTAAATGAAGGTTTCCTGTCTCCAGTTTCTCCTTGACTCCTTTCTCAAGCCATCTTAAACAAACAAACAAAAAAAACACAGTTGTATAATTTTAAGGGACAACTTAAAGTTGATGTGGAGTAAGTGATTGTTTTTGATGTGTGGATTGAGAGGTTGTAAGTAAGAGAGTAGGGACCAATGTTGACAATGGAGAGTTTGCCTGTAAATATGTTTACAGTTTTCATCTGTTCCGTTTTTGACATCAGCAGAAATCAGTTTGTCCATTTGCTTTGTTTTCCTGGGTCAGTTCAAAGTTCAGGCTTCCTCCAACCTAGAGATGTAAACATATTGCCTTCAAAGGTCGACTCCCTGAGCCTCCTGGCTGGGTCTCTGTGTGCACAGGATTGTCAAAAGCTCTCTGTACCTTGTTGAGTTATTTCTCATTTCCTGCCACGAATATTCCTTGTCTCCCCAGCCAAGGCCACGGCCCCGCTGTCCTCGTTCAGTAGCAGAACTGATCAACACGTGACCCTATAGTGCTCGGCTGGCGATGCACTGCTGTTGCACTCCAGCGTCCCAGCCAGTCCTGGGAATACAGGGGAAAGGATATACCCAACACACATGGCCAGTGGAGGGAAACTGACCGTTCCTGGATCATTCATTCATTCATTCATTCCACAAACATTTATGCAGCACCTGCCTTGTGCCAGTAGAGTTGCAGGTGCTTAGAATTCATACGTGAGTAGAAGAGACAAAGTTAATCCTTGCCTTCCCACAGCCTACATTTAAGAAACATCTAAACAGAGGTTCTTAGCAGCCCTCTGCTTCTTGGTCTCTATTGTTATTCACTTGTTTGTTAGTTCTTTCATCAACAAACCTGCCAAGTGTTCACCCTCAGTCACCCATGTGCGAGACAATAAGGCTGGGTCAGAAGGCATCACATGTCTTGACACCTTCTGTTCAAGGATGTGAAAGAGGAAGTATGACCCACTGTGCCCTTCACATAAAATCTGTTTGTACTTACACCTTCCCAGTTATTCCCTTGAGTGGCCTGCATTCTCTCTCATGTGTCCTGCAGTCTGGTACAGGAATAGGGCGCAGGTGCCCATTTGGTGTTAGGAGCAAGAGCTAAGGACACGCGGGAAGCACACATGTGCCGAGGAACAGAGGGCATCGCTCAGCGGAGGGCGTGGGACGTGACACATTCTTTAAAAAACGGCCACAGGGTGGGAGCTGACATTTTTGTTGGGAGGCAGGTCACACACTTATGATGTCACTAAACATTCCTGCCAACGGAACCCATGGAACAGGAAGGGCCACCGCGTTCCACTGTTGAGGAGAAGGCCAGGAGGGGCCTCCCTGTAAAAAGGTGCTGCTATGGAACACAGGGCATCAGAGGATGGAAGCTGAAGCAGAGAGGGTCGAAAAAGAACTGAGACAAAAGGTTCGCTGGGGTAGGACCAGCAGAGGAAAGCACGCCTGTGATTTGAGGGGAATGACGAGGAGGAGGCATGCGGAGGCTGCAGCCAAACTGTTACTTCTCTTGACATCACCAAGGGATGTACTTGGAATCTGCTGTGGTCCCCCCACCCCCTTTTCTGTTAAGAGATACGGGCTCCTCCTACATGTAAGGACTGTGCCAAACCGAGATGACGAGTCGGACTCTGAAGGGACAGCAAGTCTGGGTGGTGGGACAGGGCCTGTGGGAAGCACAGCAGCAGTGCAGGCTGTGGAGGAGTGTGTCCCAGGGGTTTCAGACCAGATGCAGAGACCAAAGGGAGCTTTCCATCCCCCTGGCGAGGGACGGGTCAGCCGGTGGCCTGGAGAGGACCTGGTTAGGGGACGAGGAGGGGGAGGGGGCCCGGGAGCCGAGTATGAGAAAGGGCCAGAGGATTGGACTTGTCTGGGGAGAAATCCCAAAGGGAAACAAACTCATATACTGCCCCCCCTTTTCCAGTCAGCTCCCGTCTGTATGAGATGTGGGATCACTAGGCCGCACCGCATTCTGGTCCTCACCTGCACGGTCGCCGGGTCGGCCCTCCTGTGGTGGGCCTTCAGCCTGTCCACCTGGGCGAAGGTGGACGTCCCCGACAGCCCCCAGGTCCTGTTCAGCGCCCTGTTTGCCATCTGCAGCCAGGAGATCAGGTGCTGGGTTCCTCCATCCAAGTCATGTAAGTGCCGGCCTTGAAGGGAGGGCCCTGCTCCCACCTGTCCCTTCCAGGACTTGCCAGCCTCTTGCTCTGCCCAGGTCACATGGAAGGAGCAGTTCTCCTCCTTTCAGTAACAGTGGCTCATTTCCGATGGGCCAGGGGGTCAGGCCTCTGGGCGACCAGCCCCGCCAGATTCGCTGTCCTGGACCTTCCGGCAGCTCACTTTCCCTCTGCTGCCACCGGTCCCTTTCCCAAAGTCCCTGCGCTGCTTCCTTCGTGTTCTGGGGGTTCAGACCCTAGAGGGAGCTGCTGGCCTTTCTCCCTCTCCCTCCCTAATTCAGACTGCTTCACGTTTGGTCGAATTTTCATGATCAGCGCCCTTCTTCTCTCCTTCTTCCTGAACATCACACTCCTGGCCTTCCCGCACACCCTTCCTGACACCTGGAAACAGTACTTTGTCTTCACCATCACCTGCTTCATCGTAGGTGAGAGATGGAGGAAGTGGGTTCCCTCAGTGGTCCTTGTGCTGTGCTGGGGTCACGTTCCAGGGGCTCACACAGCTGCTTAGAATCTGCCCAAGCACCGCTAAGGCAGCAGACAGTCCCATGACGATAAAGCAGGGCAGAGACGCTGAGATGACAGCTTTGGGTCTTGGGACTTCGCCCGAAGGCCACGCACTGAACTAACCCGGCTGCTCTCTGCCCCTGTCCTGAGGAGCAGGTGTCTGTGTGCTCCTTGCGTTGCTGCTGCACTCTCTGTATATTTGGAAAGTAACTGACATATTCAAGGAAGCGAAAGTCACCTTTCTCTACCCCTCTTTCATCCTCTCCGTCAGCATCACGCTGTTTTTCTTGTCTGGTGAGTGTGGGGGGGGCTTTGTGAGCGCTTGGGCTAGTCCTGAGTCCAGAACAGCCACGCCCAGGGCTCCAGCTCTCCCCTGAGAACTGTTAGTTTCTGGGTGTGGATTTGGTGCAGCGACGTTTCATTTGCTTGATGCAGCTGCTCCTACTCTATGTTGGAATTTTGCCTTTATAGAAAAACTAGGGGCCAAATGCACAAAATTCGTGCAAGAGTAGGCCTTCCTTCCCCCAGCTGCCAGCACTGGCTTCCCTCTGGCACCCAGGACCCAGGCTTCCCTCGCAGTCCTGGCTTTATCTGGAAGGCTGTCCGGTCTAATTAACATATTATGCTTTTATTATTATAGATAGCCTCCATTTCTGCTGTACATTCAGTAAGAACCATGGCTGGGATAGGAGAATTTATAGGGCAGATTGTAGGAGGGCGAGGGGTAGGTGGGGTAGAGAAATGGGATGACAGGTCCCTAGACCCCACACTCATTTGTTAAACCTGTTTAAAAACTGGTAATTTCTTTAAAAACATCAAGTGTTGCCGTCATTGTCATCTTCAACATCATCGTTTCTTCCCTCAGGAATTCTCTGCTTCGTCAGCGCCCACCGCTGCTGGTTTCAGTGTGTTGTGCAGCGGCCGATTCAGGTGAAACCCATGCAGACACCCGTGGCCAGTCCTTGCCCTGTAACCATCACCGAGAGCAAACCGGGTGGAGGCAGGTAGCCTGCCCTCCGTGCAAGCGGGGTAACCGTGGAAACCTCCTGTCTAGCCTGCACCTCGAGACTTCCCAGCTCCACACTCGGGTTTAATTGCTGTGGAAGACGAAGAGTTGGCCCGCTCCTGGCCATCCTTCCGATGAGGATTAGGATTCCGGGCACTTGGGTTTTCACGAGAGAGAAGACACAGTCGGGGCTGGGCAGTGATGAGTCTGCTTTGGGTCTCGAGGACTTGGAATGAAAACCTCCTCTCACCTTGAACCTGACCAAGGCCCACCCCATCATCTCAGTGTTTCCTGTGTCCTGCAAGGCGTGTCCTAACAGCAAGAAGCTCTTTCTCCACCTGTGTGGCCTGAGTTTTGATATAAATTCTCTGCCCTCTGGTAATTCTGTGAGTGTAATCTTTTCACTGTCATATAACTCAGGGCTGTGTTGCAGGAAACACAACCTCATCCAAACTCACTTAAATGACAACAAAAGAGTGAACTTATCGGACGGTCGCAGGGATAGTCCGGCGACCCAACAGAAGTCCTGGTAGGATCAGGGCTGCACAGGACACGGGTGGAACCTGAAGCTCTCCTCCAGGACATGGCACCACTTTAACTATTCAGTGAAGTTTAATGGAATTTCCTGACTCCTAAGTGCAAACAGTCTCCTAAATCCCCCTTGCTCATCATGTTCAAAGCCTGTCCCTCCCCAGCCAGACCTCTGCTCCATCTGAGCCCTCCACACACCGTGGGCCAGCCGGGCCTGGGCCACCCCTGCCAGGCCAGGGGCTCTGAGTGGCTCCCCACTGCGGTCTGTCTCCACCATGCGACCAACCCCTCTTAGAACACAGAGCTGAGAACGTTCTCCTTAAAAACCACTTTACTTTACCTTGTTCTTACCTTCAGGATGAATTCCTTATCTTCATAAATAAAGATCTTTATAAGTTGATGCCAACCTGTCTTTCAAAATGTTTTAATATTTTTATTGTGATTCATGTCATTCATGCGAAAAAAGTACTGCTGGAGGGACCAGAAAGGAACCGCCATCTCTAGAGAAAAGCAACATTGTAGGATACTCCGGGCGAGCCACCGGCCCGTTCTGCCCCCTCCACGCCAGTTCACACCGTTCCACCTCCTGGGACTGCTTTTCCTGAACTCTGCCAGGCGGTAACGTTCAGTCCTGCGTTTCCTTCTCCACAGCATCGGTTGGATTGTTCTCTGCGGCCAGATGAAGCTCCAGTGCGACGTCTGGAGAGCCTCCCTGACGGCCCTGCCCGTGATTGATCTGTTCGTCCCCAGCACATTTCCTTTATTCCTGTTTCAGTGTAGCTATGAGTTTAGATTTGTCTCTCTGACTAGGTGTTAGTTCCCTGAGGAATGAGGAGTAAGCTTTACCTTTGCACCCTCAGGGTTTCACGTTTTGCTGGGTGAATAGATAAATACCCTTTGAGTTACTGAGGCGACGCTTTAGAAGATTGCCATGCACTGAATGCAAGTACTGAGTACCAGTACCAGCTCTAGGTCATATCAGTTCTGTGGTGGGTAGATCTGTCAATGGTGGCCACGCTTTACCGACAGGACGTGCCTGGCACTGAGTCCTGTAATCTCACAACAAACCTGCCAAGTGAGCATCACCCCATTTTGCAGATAAGGTAACGGGGTGACTCAAAAGTGATTCATCCAAATTCACATACCTGGTGAGTCAAGACTTTAGTATGGGTCTCTCTAAGCCTGCTCTTTCTTTCCAGATCAAATTTCTATGTGGACAATGACAAGAATCGAGAGTATATGTTAAGGCAGACAGTGTTAACTAGGGTTATGCTGGAGGTGAACAGATTGTGATGATGAAACATTAAAAATCGATGGTTATTAAAGAGGCTGCAAAAGTAAGTCTGGGAGCGAATGAGAGTTACGGTATATATTTGGTAGACAAATTGAGGCAGCATAAATTACCAATTTCCAGAATAAATAATACCATTCCTGTCCTCTCCGCGAGGCAGATGGAGGTGGCGGTTTGGGGCGGAGCTTCAGGTCTCTGCCCTGCGGTGCACGTTAGCCCCTGAGTCCAGATTCAGAAATGTAGTGTCATTTTACCATGTGCCAGGAGCCGGTCCATGCTTGCTGTTTCAAGGGACCCAGCATATATGGCATACTGTTCTTAATATGTTTGCTCACCTTCTTGGCACTATGTGTTTTAACCAAGGTCTCTGAGAAAGGTTGTTTCCCCAGGTAGGGATTTTCCCCTGAAGTTAGGGAGGGAATAAAACCTCTTAACTAAGTGCCAGGCGGGTAATTAATCACTTTAACTATGAACAATCATGCTTAAGCTACATAATCTTTACTCCCTGGAATGGAGATAAGAAACGCCCTAACCTTTGTAATAGAGATTGATAGGATTGAATCAACTGGTATAAATACAGATGTAACGAGACAGAAAGAGACAGAACTTAGAACACAGAACTTAGAACACAGAACTTAGAATACGGAACCAAGAGAGACAGAACCTAGGCACAGAACCTACACAGAACGTTCTCTAGAGACAGAAGAACTTCGCTGGAGAGAACATGGCAAAAGATCCTGGACAGAAACTGGCCTCAGAACCTAGAGACAGAACCTAGCGAGAGAACATGGCAAAAGATCCTGGACTGAACCTGACTACAGAAATTGGCAAGAGAACCTGACTAGAACCTGGTGACTGAACCTGGCTGGAGAACCTAGCGAGGGAACATGGCTTCAGAACCTGGCTGGAGAACCTAGCAAGAGAACATGGACACAGACCCTGGCAGGAGGTCCTAAGCAGAACTTCGCTGGAGATCCAGACCAGAACTTGGCTGGAGATCCTGGCTAGGCTGCTGATCAACTGAACGCTGTCTCCATGTCATTCCTTCTTCGCCAACTCCGTCCACACCTTTGGGGACCCCTGGACCTGCTGGGGCTGGACCCCGGCAACCATGTAGTCATAAGGCCCTGTGATGTGTGGCTTTATTAATAGCCACGCTTGTACAATTCTGATTTCTATGCCTATGTATAAGCATGGACAAGTAATGCCATGTCCTGAGCACAAGTACTGAATACAAGCTGTAGGTCAAATCAGTTCTATGACAGATCTGGAACTCTGGCTATGGTCTAATGCTGGTTAATGTAAGGAACAGAGCTCTCAGCTTTCAAAATGCTTAAAAGTACTTATTTCCTCTTATTTTAAAAATGGGGATGGAGCCGGGTGTAGCAGCTAGTACGGCTTGCCTCTGTCACCCCCAGGCACCCACATCGCGCCCACACCTCCTCCTCCCAGCAGGATCAGGGTTCTGTTCACAGGCCCTTCCGCACCCTGCCTTGGCTTTGAAGGTGGGCCCCCTCTCAGCTCCAGAGGCCGAATGAGGATTGGCCTCGTTTTTAAAAATATATTTCTATTGATGTCAGAGAGGAAGGGAGAGGGAGAGCAAGAGACATCAATGAGAGAGAATCATGGACCAGCCGTGCACTGCTTTGAACACAGCGGTCATCTGGCCATTGTTCGAATTTTGACCTGTGGACGAGGGGAAGAGCAGGTGGGGAATTAGCTCAAATGGTAGAGCGCTCGCTTAGCATGCGAGAGGTAGTGGGATCGATGCCCACATTCTCCAGTTTTTACTACCCCAGCCTCGGTTCTCATGTTAACCCTAAGTCCAGAACATATAGATCTTCCAACTCAGAACTCACCTGTTTCTCACGAGGAGCTGTGATCCCACAAGGGTGAGGTCTACTAGGTTGGTATTTTCCCCCACGTGTCCTGCAACTTGGCCTTGAGTTCGACACAGTCCTGGACAGTGCAGGACGCGTAAACCCAGGTCGAAGCAGCTCAGCAAAACACACGCAGGAGAAACCCAAAGACATCCACACCCAGGCGTGTCGCAATCAAACGTCTGAAAACTAAAGAAAAATTTTTCTGAAAACGGCCAGAGGAAAATGAAAGGGAAACGGCACTGGCTCCTTAGGGATCATTGTCAACCAGGATGGATCGGCTGTCCAACAGCTGGGACGTGAGGCCACCCCGGTGCTTGAAAGGTAATCTTTCCTAGTGTGTTTGCAATACAGGGAACCCCTCCAGGTGGCCCTCTTAGCGCAGTAGGCAGCGCGTCAGTCTCATAATCTGAAGGTCCTGAGTTCGAGCCTCAGAGAGGGCACAGGTGTTTTTTACAGCATGTTCCTTGCACCATAAATCACAACACAAAGAAAAGCTCGCAAATGGTCACAAATAACCATTTCAAAACGGATATCCCACATCCTCCCCCCCACCCCCCCAAACGGGAAATCGCTTTTGGACTTTCTAAGGCTTCCTTCCCAGGGTTTCTATTCAAATGATTGTGGAACAAATTCACTTCACACCAGAAACCACTTGCGACACCTGTTGGGGCTCTTCCTGTCCCTCTCACGGAAGAAGCAGGGAAATTGCTCTTCCAACCTCAGGCTCTGAAGGTGGCCCCACCGCACTGAACAGGTGGGCCAGGTGTGGGGTCATTCATCCTTTTATCCTCCAACAACTATTTCTGGAGCACACATCTTATTCAGGGAACAGTGATTAGAGAGTAAATAAAACACAAACATTCCCTCCCCCGTGGGCGTCATCCAGACACTCCTTGGTGCTTACGGAATCGGTTTAGAGGTTGGGTTCTCTCCCTGTCCCTCTGAGGCCCTCCATGGTCCCTGGGTCCAATGCTGCCTTTCCGTTCAGGATAGGAAAGAGCCTGTTTCAATTATTTTAGACTCAAAATACTCAAAGATAATGACCATGGGATGAGATTCTGACCAGGTTCTCCTTGCCAGCCTTCCCTTTATGGTAGTCTGATTTCTATGGAAGCCAAAGTCTGTTAGACTCTCCTGCCCCGCCTTAGTTTTTCCTAGCGCTTCCTTCCCTGATTCTGTCTTCCAGGAAGACGGGAAGAGGCATGAGATCCCAGCGGCACTCGAAGCCGCGTTGGGAGGAGGGAGCGCGGAGGCTGCCCCACCTGACGGAAACCCCTCAGCTTCTGCACACCTGGCAATGTCTTCATTTCGCCCTCCCTCTTGAAGGACAGCTTTGCCAGCTGTGGGATTCGTGTGTGATTCTCCCCAACCCCTCCTTACAGCACTTCTCTGGCCTCCAACGTTCCTAATGAGAAATCCTACAGAGGATCCCTTGTAGGAGATAACTCACTTCTCTCTTGCTTCCTTCAAGATTCTCTCTTTGCCTTTGTCTTTTTAAATTTTCATTATAATGTGTCTCAGTGTGGGTCCCTTTGAGTTCATCTTCCTTAGAATTCATTGAGGTTTTTGGATGTTTATATGTAAGCCTTTATTCAAGCTTGGGAAGTGTTCAGCCATTGTGTCTTCAATATTCTACCTGCCCCTTTCCCTCCTCTCTTCCTCCGGCACTCTCATAATTATTCCATTGCCACACCTTCAGGTTCACCAGAAAGAAAATGGAAATCACTGAGGCTGAAGAACAGGAAGAAAAAAAGACTGAAGAGAAGTGAGCAGAGCCGGTGAGAGTGCCGGAGGAAGAAACATTTTTCCTTCTTCTGCTCAGTCTGCCTTCAGATCCTTCACGGGTAATTCCTCATTTCAGTAATAGTACATTCAGATCCAGAATGTTTCTTGTTTCTCTTTAGGTTTTCTACCTCTTTCTTTATATTTTCATTTTGTTCACACAACATTTTATTGAGTTTCTCCATATTTTCCTTTAGTTATTTGAGCCTCTTTAAGACAGTTGCTTTAATGTCTTTGTTTACTATAGCTGACATTAGATCTTCTATGGGCACAGCTTCTATTGATATATTTCTTTCATTTGAAGGCCATGCTTTCCTGTTTCCTTGTATGCCTTGTGATTTTTTTGTTGAGCACTGGACATTTGAATCTAATAATGTGGTAACTTTGGCAATCAGATTCTCCTCCTTTCTCAGGTTTTGGAAGGCAGCTATGCTCACCACTATACCACCA